ATGCTTTGAGACCTGATCTGTCTGATTCTGAGGGTTTCCTGCTAAGGTCCATCATCTTCCCAGTCAAAGCACCACTGCATACTAAAACACTGTGCTACTACTGAGGTCAAATGGGGCTTTTACCACTGTATGGCTGGTTTAGATGATCTCTTACTCAACATGTGACCTGTTATGAGTTATAATGGCAGACCTAATTGTGCCTATTCTTTGCCTATAATATCCTAAAAACAGCTGTAAAGGGGCAGGGAAAAAAACCATCCACGTTTTGCGGTATCATATTCAACTGGCCAACAGCAGGTGCCTAGAGAACAGGACTAGAATATAGTTACAATTCCCTTATTGACTTTCTCCCCCTCCATGAACTTGCAAAAGACAGCCTTCCTGAGACAATTCACAACTTCATGTGGAATACTATGGGTAATTTTCTCCACATGCTTAATCACTTTTCTGAACCCAGATAATCTTTCAATATCCACAATAACTTCAGATGCAGAGTTCCACAGCTTGTCTACCATGGAGGAAATCTCTCTTTTTGTTCATTTTCAACATAACCCCTGCCAGGTTCATTTGTTTCCTCCTAGTTCTTGCATTAGTATAAACAGAAAATAATTGTTTTCCAAGACAAGTTTTCTGTGCAAACGATTTTTTCCAGAAATCATTCATATTCCACTAAAATAATTTCTTTCTCAAACTGAACAGTCCTAGTCTATTGAGTTACCTGTTGTTTTGAGGTCATTCTACACCTTTAATCATTGCTGTCATCCTTCCCTATACCATTTTCAGCTTCATTATATTGGTTTTAACTTGCTACTCAATTGCCCATTCAGTCAGTTCAGTGAGATACTTCTAACAGAGAGGAAATTTCTTTTTCTTGTTGTGTTTAATAATTTATGACTCTTAGCAAGCTCTGTTCTTCTGTTAGTTGCTCTCTGTCCAGATAATTATGGCTATGTTGAAAGATCCATGATCTAGGAGAGACCCCTAAGGGTTTTCACTTGATACATCTTCCCAAGGAGAAAAACGCCATTAATTCTCTACTCTTTGCTCTCAATTTTTTTTAAGTGGAGATTAAATATTCACCTCATGGTTTCAAATGACACCTGATGTTCTTTTAGGTGCCAAAAAGGTATTCACTGATTTTCTTTCAGATGCCAAAAAGGTGTCCACTACAATGCTCATCTGTGCTGTATCTAACACCAGTTTTAGATCTAACCCAAATTACAACTGTAGATTCTAGGAGACACATGACCATCCAAGTAATAGGTATTGTAATAGTTGCTTTTGTGCTTTTGTTGCCATAACTTTATATCTCTAACACAAACAGTAAAAAAATTAATTATATTATTAAATACAAGTCAACATGCTGTAACAGTGGTCTATTCATGACTCTGCCACAGATTTGTGATGTGTACCATCACAAAGCTCTCTTGGCTTCAGGTCTCAGTTGTCTGCTCAGTGTTTGACATTCTTTTTAAATGTAAGGTACTTAGGGTATGAGCTGTGTTTTCTTATGGCTGTCTCTGACAACCCATACGGTGATTTTTGAGCTGTTGGCAATTCTTAGATGGAGTTCCAAGGTACTACTGCACTAACAAACATAAATAATAATGTGTATCAGAAATGTAGGACTGTGAACGATTTAGCACTGTTCACTGTTCTCCTTCACAATGCTTTCTATCACCAGGATGGAGGTTGATTTCTCTCACAAATGCAGGCACAGCTAGAGACTGGACTAAATTTTTCTGCTGGTTCAGTTAGAAAGGAGTCCTATCATAGCAGTCAGGAAAGCCTATAGATCTAAGTATTCACTTCACTGAGAAATTCACTTCACTGAGAAATGAGGATGGGACATTTAGGTTTCCTGCTTGTTTCCCTTGGAGTGTTATTTAACTCTGGAGGGAAGCCAGAATAATTAGTCAGGAGAATACAGATGCTGCTGCAGTTACTTAACTGTTTACACCTGAAAAGGAGGTGTACCTCCTTCTGTAGCTGCCTCCTTGTGCCAACCTCATCCCACCAGGACTCTTAGTTCACAGATCTGTATGTAAAGTGCAGAAGACTTCAATTTATTTAGGTATTTATGTCATCAACAACATCTGTATTAATTTATTTATTTAATGGCGGTAGAGTAAGTCCTTAATCAAAGTAAGCATCTAACTATTTGAGATCCAAGCCTGATGTCACCAACTAGACTTTCCAAAAGACTCACCCAATGTGTCTGATAAGTGTTGCCTGACTCCCGAAATGAGATGCCTGTTCATTCCACAGAAATGAGATTCTGCTTCACTATTGACACTCGGTGGTTGCGTTTTGTAAAGCTATGGATGAAAAAGGAAAGTAAAAGCAAACTGGAGATGTTCAAAGTTACATCTTCAAAGGTAACACTTTGTGTTAAAAAAGATAGGAGGGGTTTTGACAATATGATCACATTTCATTACATCAGATACAGAATTATATTTTTACAGTAAATGTATTCATTTTTAACACTCATGTTTTTAATTAATGAAACGGTTTTACTTCTACAAAGCTGAAAAAGTAATGCTTACAAGAAACTGTAATTTTTAAGTTGGTAGAAGATGAACATTTGAACTTTTTTATTGCGAGAATTTCTATATGATCTCCTAAATTTCCTAATACACTGAAGTGAAATATCTGGTTCTCAGATATGTTTTTTGACAGTTTAATAAGAGAGAAGAGATTTCTTGCTACAGTATTTTAGAATAAGTTCACTCATGCAATACCTAGAGCAGGGGCAAAAAAAAAAAAAGGATAATCTGTGTAAAAGAAGATCAGACACCCAGTGCTCATCCTACAACTATTCTCTTTGTGCTGAAGGTATGTAAGTGCTGCTTTAATGAGCTATGGGTAGAGGTGTTAGTTTGAACGAAGTGTTACCGCACAGAGGCTGCAAATAACGTGCCATTAGCTGCACTTCCATGAGAGAAGCTGTTTGAAAAATAAATTATAAAAATTATTCCACTGTGAGAGATTCAGCATATGTGATCAAGAGCTGCAAGTTTGACACTACATGCTGAAAGTGAGACTTCAGTAGTAAGAATATTCAATACGTAAGGAATTCTAGTGGGTTCTGTCTCCCTATTCTATGGAAACAATTATGAAATTCGAATATTTATAAATGACACCAAACTGCAGTCTTCAGTGTAATTTTTAGAAAAAATGAAATATCTTAATACTAGAAGTGCTCCTACCCTGCTGTTCAGAGAAAATGGGATAAGAAGTTCCTACAGTGTCAGCTGATTCCTGCTTTGTTGAACAATATTGAAATCAGCTTGATTTTCCATTGATGTTTTGTTTTCCTAATTCCCCCTAAAAGAGTAAGTGCTGACAATGCAAGTGCTGAGCTTATGGATAGAAGGCCTGAATTTATTGAATTGTAAAAAAACTTGGCTTCATACAGAGAATGGTTTGTTTAGGTTTCCTGTATTTTTAGGGTGGATTTTTTTCTGAATTTTGACTGGAAAATGAGATTATGGTTTGAAGATGCTGGGGTCCCTTGAGTGTAATTCTGGCAGCCAGTAACTGAACTTAAATAACCAGGCATGCAGCCTATACAGCCATGATATGTGTCACTATTCAAACAATTTAGATGCTGTTTGGATTTACTTTGCTGTTTTCATAATATTTTATTGAAGAAATTAAGGAACACAGAGCCCATCTGTTTCAAACTCTTCTGGTTTAACATAGCTTTTCAGTAAAAATAAGCTTCTCTATTCAAAGAAGTTATGGTGACCAAGGAGGAAAGATAAAATTGGATCTTAGTTGTGTTTTGTTTCCCTGAGAAAGGAAGGGTGGCAGTGATGAAAGACTTGGAGCTCTAGGATTTCTCAACAGAATATTTATTTACCATTATATACTATCATTTCTGAAATCAAAAATAAAAATTCTCAGCACACAAGCAAAACATTTCAATATTAAGGAAATTTAATATATCATTTGACTCAAGGAAATATACACAGACATAGACCATTTCTGAGATTCAGCCTTTTAATCTCAAGCATAAGTAACAAATCTTGTTAGCTATCTGAATCTTTAAGAGGGATGGGTAAAGGCAGAAGTTCCCTTTCCAGCCCTAAAAGTTAATGTGGTATAAGAACAATTTCCCTCTGCCAAAGAAAAATCATTGGTTTCATATGTGAAAGTTACAACATTAAATTACACTCACTGAGTACAGTTGTCTAAGATCAGTCCCTAAGTGTCAACCATTATGTAGTCTGTCGCTGTAAAGTAATTTTTCAATCTTTCAATTAAGTGCACTGTATAATTTTATGGCTTCAGTCTGCATGCACTGTTCATGCACAACTGTGTTAAACAATGACAGGAGCAGCCTGGAATGAGAAAGAGACTACAGGGAGGATCCAGTCTGACAATGAAGCTGACACAGCAAAGGTAAAAGAGGCTTAACGTCTGACAGACAGCCATGATTTTTAATTATCCATTCTCACTGCTGATTGTTGCAACTCATCTCGCCCCCACACTTCTCCCTTTCTCTACCCTCATCTTCATCGCATGCCTGCTCCCTCCTCTCTTCTTCACATCCTGAAATGCCCTTGTCTCCCTTTCCCTGCCTTTTCTTTGTCCCGTTTAACTGATCTCCACCTACCCAAAACCCTTATCAAACAAAATAAAAATGTTTGGAACTCGCAGGGTGTTTCCTGACAGGCTGTTGCTCATTCCTCCGCTATGACTCAACCTCTCTCATCCCCACTCTCCTCCTGTGTGGCGAGCCCTTCATTTCTGGTATACACCCTCACCTTACATATCTTTTGTATTTTCAGGTGGCAAGTGCCTTTAAGGAAAAGACAATCTGCTCCTTCGCTGTGCAATTAGACTTTTCCATGCATTAGAGTATATTCAATACCAATATAAATTACATGCATTTTCAAAATTAATGAGAATAGTTAGCCATAGTTATGGCTAACTATTGAACATAATGAACTTTATGGTATTTTTAAGAAATCATTTTAAATGAAGGTACGTACCTATAATGAATGGCAGAGGATCTCAATGTTCTCACATCACACATGTTCAGTAATAACTCTGGAAAATGAACATATCAAATTTTAGCAGATACTCCCTACCTTTACTCACTAATGGGAATTCTGGTATTCCAGACAGTCATAACTTTGGAAATATGTCAGAAGACAGAAATAAGAAAAAATAAATTAAAAAAAATAATAATAAAAAAAACCCCACACCCAAAAAAACCCTGTTCTGTGGGTGGCCACACGCAAAATTTACAAAAATAAAGGGCTCTTAGATGTCTATCTCAGATTTTATCTCAGATTTTTTCGTCAGTTCAACCTGTTTCTGATGTATTCAGCATGTCAAGAAATGAAAAAGAAAGAAAAGAAGAAAAAAGAACAGTGAGATAACAAACTCTATAAAATATCTTAAGGACAACCACAGTGATGTTGCAGGAAGGTACTGTGGAAGTATTGGCATACAGGGTCAGATACAGCTAATTGAGTCAGGCACAATGAATACACCATCAAGTATAATGACATCTTCCTCCTAAATGACACAGAAAAGCAGACTCTTTCAGAACACATTATTACACTTTAAAGTAGTCTCCTTTATGATAGTCATTACCAAAATATTTCACACAAGAGATTTATCCTATTAAGAACCCTTGAAACTTATATAAAATTAATTATATTTTACCTAAGGTTTTTTGAATAGTTCTAATTAATTAAATATTCTTGGATTGCAATAACTTTGTGCTGTTTAGTTATTCAAACACAGGCTTTTGATTATTTCGTTTCTGTTCCATATAGGTAGCTTTCCCTTTATTACATGTACAGGTTGTAAAGTACCAGCTGTGGCCCATCTAACTAATAGTTGTTCATCATATAATGTAATCTTATATGGAAATATTTCAGATGCTGCATACAATATTTTAAGATCCTCCTGGGTGATAGACACTACCTTAAATAACGTTCTAATCTTACGGGTGCTTCTCTCCTTCTTCCAGGCTCTGCAAACTTTCTGACGTAAAAGCAGGCTTTCAGCATCAAATACTAAGATTTGATTGTTCAAAGAAATGCATATGAGTTACGCATCTTTGGTCTATTCAAGGCACCTAACTTCACAGACATGTACACTGTGGCATTTTAGTTTATGAGCATGATTCACTCCCCCCACCCTGCCTCCCTAAGATATCAATGAAAAAAAAAGTAGTCACAGGATTTAATCTAAATATTGTGTATATGGGAATCATATCCAAAGGAGAATATAACAAAAGAACTTGATTCTCCTCTGATGTGTTTTTTTAGAAGATGCAGTATGTTCTGTAATTAACAACAAACAGTAGTTATTAAAATCCACATGTTGAGGGGGAAAAGAATCCCAAATATCTTCCATTGTTTTAACCAAAACATTTTCACCTTCATTTTTTATATCAATCTCTTTTGCATCTCTGAAATTTTTGACAGTTCCATCCTTGAAACATCTAGCTAGAAAAGAAGTGCTTCCTGGTAACATTGTACAAAGTCCTGACATAATTTAAAAAAAAAAAAATCTGGCCTTGTATGTTGCACTGCACACAAGTATTGTAAACTACCACATAATTAAAAAACAAGGTTTTTTACCTTGTTGCTTTAAAGGAAACAATCAACAGAAGTCTTTAACTTTACTGGGTCAAAGAGACCAGATTCCTTGCTGGTGTGCAGACTGGCTGTTTTAAGGAGGCTGAATGAATTGGTAATTTCAGTGAAAATAATTTCTAGTGAAGGGGTTTTCTTATTTGGATTTTCTCACCAGAGGAAGGAACTATAAATTTTCAAGCAAAGATAAAAACCACTAAGGAAAAGAAGCAGAAGCCTCACAGAGAAAACCAAAACACAGCAAAAGCTTTGAAAAAATCCAACCCAGAAACAAACTCAGATCGCTTTAGGGATATGTAGTTAACATTGAAAAGCACTGTATTTTTTTCTACAGATACTTGTTTAGGGAAATAGCAGTAAACCACTGTGTTTTTAGGGAAGAACAAACAGCCGCAACTAATGGTTCTCATGGAAGACTCCTGTAGAATGTAAAAAGTCTGTGGATAGCTGAGTTCTGGTCCATATGTACAATTTTGTTCAATTAAAATTTGTAACTACGAGAAGAGATGATCCCGTAGGAATACTTATATGTAACAGTGGTAAAGACAGAAGAGGCTAAAAGGCTACTTGCACAAGGCAGTCATTTAAGAGTTCAGAACAGCTTTTTATGAGAGGAACCTCACAAGAAAAAGCCACATTAGAAGCTATGTTCCTGACACTGGTGAGCTAAGATACTGGGACTTAGCAGTAAAATACTTGTTGTTCAGCAGTGACTGGATAAGCTGAATATCTGTTTTAAATGAGGTATAGATCTTATCAGTCAACGGCGTTGCCACTGCTGCTGAATTTGGGAAAATTATTTGGAATGAGTTAAAAGAATTGTGTTTCAAGGAACGGTGACAAAGAAATCAATTAAGCTTGGCATAACTTTTATTATAATTGATGCAGAGCTAAATAAAAAATGCAGCCTCTCACACAGAAAGTCTTTAGCTACGAAGCACTGGAAACTAAGGTGCTACATTAAGTATCACTCCATGAACAGTAGGTAAGATAAGTCTCTGGTCTGATCTTTTTCTTATAAAGCACATCTTTTAACAATGATGAGAGGGAAGTAGCACTAGTCAGTGAAGCCTTGTATCCAGTAAAACTGATTTTTTACTTACCACATCCAACTGTGCATGTCAGACTCTAAATGTATTTCATTTGGCAAAGCACTGAAGTTGTTATACTCTCTCTGAGCCAAATTCTGCCCTTCACTTCAGGCACACAGCTCCGATTGACTCCAATGGAAGTTGTACAGAAGGAGACAGACTGTGTAAATTAGGTATACCCTTGAGATAGTGAAGGAAGATTCACCGCTGAACCCTGGAGTGGGAGTTCACCAAGTGCCAGTAAAGTCAATCTCAGCAGTCAGTCCTTCCCAACTCATCAGAGCAGTGGTTTGAAATATCACACACTGCTTGAAAAACAAAAGGACTTTCACAGCTTTGAGACAGGCCTTCCCTTCAGTCATTATCTCAGAAGTCCATCCTCAAAGACTTTTGTTTCTGTACTGCTTTTGGTGAAAGGTACTGCTATTTCCACAAAATTCTTTTACCTAGATCTGTTCAAGGCCCTTTTTTACCTATACTGCCACCAGCTACATATCTAGTTTTCTCCTTGTCCTAGCATCGGTTATTCGCTTTGAATTTGGATTTCTTTCCCTCTTAGAATCAATTTTTGGTTTTCTCACAGGTTGAGTGATACTTTTTGTGTCATGCAAAGTTTAACAGATAGGCGCTCTAACTTGGACCCCTCATTTTAACCTCAGTGACAGCAAAGACCTCGAAGCATAGTGGAAATAACCACAGCTCACTGCAGTTCTCCCACACTCACCTCTTTAAGTAAAAAAATGCATCTGTTCTGAAAATCCCAAAAGTCATGGATACCATAGTAGGTGTGCAAAGAAACAAATACCAGAACCAAATCAATAGCATCAATTCCAGTTTACATTTTTATATGCTTTTAGTGCAGAGATAAAAAATTCTCCTCTAGGTCATACTCACAAAAAAATGAAGGTCAAATTCTGCTTTGCTATTCACATCCCAGGTTCTGCTCGTCTTGTAGATTAAATACGTACATTCAGCAAGTAGATGAGAAGGCTTCAGCTTAAATTTTATGGATCTATTTAGCATGGTCTTCTAAGGAAAAAAAATTTTTTTTGTAAGTATTGTCACATAGAAGGACAAGATGCCCTATGCAGGTATTTGCAGAAAAAGAATTATCTTGTTAAACCAAGGGAAATATGTTACAGACTTAGACCCAGAATGGCTTGTGAAAAAGACAAAGCATAATAAAACAGAGATAAGAGTGTGATGGAAGAAGTAAGTGACTAAATGACTGAAGTATGTTAGGTTTGTAAGTTACCAGACAAAATTGTATCTTTTCTGGTTATTTCTATCAGATAACAGCAGTTTGTTTGGGGGTTTCTGCCTCCAACCGTCAGACCCTCTGCCATTGTCTAGGAGGGAAAGGGAGTGAGAGAGGGAAAGGTCAGTTTTCAATTACTGATTTGGTCTCCAAAAAAACTAGTCCACCTCTTGCTGTTGTCTGGAAACACTATACATGTACACTTGGTGACTTCATAATGTTAGTACCTGGCCTGTTGTATAAGGTGTTCTAAATATATAATCCTAGAAAATATAAAACTTTCTGTAAGCAAAGAGAGAGGTCAGCCTTCTCTTGTTTCTTCTCTGTTTGATAAAAGTAGCCTTTGGTGAAGTATTCCAGGGTTCAGTCATTTTCATCATCCAAGAAAAAACTTAGAACTTGAAACATCTTAATGCTCTGTAAAGTCACAATCTGCCTTGCTGGTGAAATACGGACACATCGTCTTTTTCTCCATTTCTACTTGGATTGCTACTAACAAGATCTTTCAAAATATTTGATCATTAATTACAAAGTTCCAGTGAATAGTCTGCTGGTTTCACACATACACATGCAATCTACTACTGACAGTTTTCTAAGTGACTCCAGAGAATATTTTTTTCCATTGGATTTGTGAACAAAATTGCTGAGAGGCAGATCGTAATGAATTTGATGTTAGTCCTTCGTTCAAATAAAGACATAGTCATTTACTATTATATGCCCCATACTGAAAATCCCCTACTTATAAATCAGATACATGAAAATCAAATTTTCCTACAAATAACAACTTTTAAAACCTCCTTATCAACACTGAAGGTTCAAAGGAGTGAAGAGATGCCTGCCAGCCCTGTTTGATGAAGCATTTTCTTGAACTATCAGCTATCAAGGATCTCCTCAGTACTCCAAACCCTTCTGATTGCCTTTCAAAATCTTTCAATCCATCTCTCAAAAAAATAAACAAACAAAATCCTTCCTTGATCCTTGCAAATAAGCAAGATGATTTGGTGGAAGGTTTTTACAGGTTTTTTTAACTCATTTAACAACTTCTAGAGACCACAAAAAGCCAGCAAGTCCCTTAAACACACAGGGCTCAGCAAAAAGAGGGAGAGACTCCTGGAATTCAAGCCATTATAAGCCCCTGCATTTCTCAATTTACATTTTATATATACAACAAAAATCTGACCTAAGAAATCACTTTGTCTTCCAATTACCCTTCCAGTTCTCTTTCCCCTTTCTACTTTTCTTTGAGTATGTTGTTTATAAGTTAAACAAAAAAAATAAAAGTATGTTCAACAGTAAATATTTTCATTTCAATTGTTTGATCCATTTCTACGTAATTTATAGAATAAATGATAGAATAACAAGTTCCTTACCTGTTTTATTTATTTCTACTTAGTATTATAAATGAATACAAACTCTGTACTAAGTAAATATAAATGAATTTTATATAAAATAAGAGGGCAGAATTAGTATTTTATAAATGTCATGGGTAAGAAACTACCCTCTTTTATCTGACAACTGTTAACAAAAATGCAAGAGGTATTTTACATCAGGAAACTTAACAGATAAAAATATTTTCTTTGCAGATTAGGTTATACCAAACCTTAAATATCTGATTAATTAAATAGAACAATTAATCCCAACATCTGCTTTTCACAAATAAATCTTCTTTTATCAATTTTAAAAGCAAGGAAAAAAACCTCCAAGACTTACTAAGACTAATTCAAATGAATAACAGAATCAAACACAGACTACATTTAGTAAAAAAGGACATTTTCTATCAAAGATTTTCAGCCACAGAATTATATAATGAGTTAACAGATATTTTCCATTTATGAATATTGCTATTCTTGTCAGGGGTTTTTTGAATAATTTAGTGCTTTCCTTCAAAACATTTTTCTTTCCTTACTGATGTGGCTAGATTAAGCATTAGCAATTTTGGTGACCTTTTAAATTCAGAAATGCTAGAACACTGTTGAAGCTCACCTGATTCATTGAGGCTTAATTCCTCACTGCCGATGATTACAGTGGGAACCATTCTCTAGTGGGTTAGAGCCAAAGAGACCCAGGGAGCCAAAGTGACAGCCAGGTTAATAAAGGGAGTTTATACTGACATTTTTCTGGGAATGTTAGTTTTTGTTGTTTTTTTTTTTTTCTTTTTTTTTTTTCATAGCTGGAAAGGGCAGCACTCAGAAAGTTAATTTGGATAGCACTATTAACGGCAACTTGTTCATAGAAATTTACTTCTCTAAGGTTTTTTCCATCTCACTGTTACTGATTTTTTTTTTTTGCTTGCATTGTGCATACCATATGATTTGTAACATGCAGTCACAGTTGAAGTCAAACCCTGAGAGCTGCAATTCAGTTGAAATAACTGGATTCTGTAGTCACTCAGTAATAGTCTTAGAGTCTTCTATGGCTTAGAGAAACTTGATTTCCCTAAAAGAGAGAGACTTCCTAGAGCTCCACTTACAGTACAAGCATTTGAATATTTAATATTTATTGCAGATCTTAACAGAAATTATACAAAGTACTTTCCTTTAAATATGAAAGAAACATAAAGGCTGAGTTTTATTTTCCTTTATCAGTTTATTCAATTTGCAGAAAGATAGACTCAATTAATTTTGCAGTAAAGTAAGAATAACATTGTGATGGAAATGCATTAATCTACTTAATGAAGAATTGTAAAGTCAGCATCACTAGAGAAACAAGGATCATTGATATTTTTAAATAATATTTGAAGGATTGTATGCTTTGGTTTAGAATTAAAGTGCGTCCTATATAAAAGAGGGACCTACCAAAAGAGTTTGAAAAAAAATTAAATACCTAGAGACAGACATCTGTACATAGATAAATGCCTGTGTAATGCAGTCCAGCATAATTTATATCTTGTCCTAATGAAGAAAATAGAACACTTGCATAAAAATTGCCAATAGGTGCACATTCACTGTGCAGGCATGTTCTTCCATGATTCATAGGGGAAATAAGCACATATGCCTACCATATTTACAGCATATAGTCATAATCAGCCAAACACATGATAAAGATGTAAAGAACCTTGTAACAAGCCAGCTTGCTCCTTCTAGTAGTAGGAAGCCTCTGCAAGGCCCAGACACTTAATAGGTCCTGTTCATTTATGACCAGTTAACAATTAATAGACATCACGTGTCTTCTGTTATAAAATGCAAGGTAAGACCAAAGACAATGCTCTTGGAAAGCTGTGGAAAACAGGAAAGAAAAAGGAAAAACAAACAAACAACAAACAAAAACCCCCACCCTAACACCAATAAAATGTGTTACGGTCTTAAGGGATTAAACCTAGAAGACAGTGTTCCTGTGAAAGAACTGCAGCAATAGAGAAGTTTGTGTGTAAGCAGGAGATGTTTATTTTAGGACACACATTTTGAATACTTCCCCAGACAGTTGTATTAGCTATAGTAGCCTCCTCAGGAGTCTCATTCCCTAAGCATAGCACTCTTGGAGTTGTCCCCAGATTGCTATGTGTCAGAAATATTTTCATAAAACAGAATATTTTATCCACTTTTAGGGCAAGTGCTGCTATTTGCAGGAAAAAAAGATCCCAGTGATTCTGGAGATACAGTATACACTAAGTGTTACAGCACCTCCATCAAATTTTAAAAGGCCAAGTACCTGCAGCAGCTGGGGTGCAATGTCAACAAATTCCTTCACCAGCTGATGTGCTCAACATGCTGCCTAAGCATTGGTACCTTCCTCTCTTGTGAGTCACTGTTCCAGGTCACAACCAGTACCATGTTTTTTAGGATTTTGGAGTTGCTTTTACGTTTTTTGCTAGAGCAGCAGGACCTAGACTTGCTCCATGGAG